TTCGTCGTCCGTGGGATTTGAACCCTAGACCTGCTACTTGGAGAGGGTGACGACTTGACCACTTCACTAAGCCGCCACACCTCACTATCTGCTGTTGTAATTTGTTCAATAAAGAGAATTTTGTTGTTTTTAAGACTATTAATTATAAGATTATTAGGAGGTGTTGGGAGTATATCAAAAATTAAATGTGTATATTCTGGAATAAAAGGAGGAAAGATTGCAATTTGAGAAATAGAAGAGATCGTAATATTGTTTTTAGCTAGTTGTGAAAGGTTAAAGAGAAGAGTATAGTTTTGAGTTTTACGATAGTAAAAAAGGAGCAATTCTTTGATAGATTAGAGGGCCAAACTTTATATAGCCAGGATTCAATACATGTGATACCAATATTATAGAGAAGTGGGAAAGTATTAAATGTTTATTTGATATTTGAAGCACTAACTTTTTGTATTATGTTATTGTAATATTGTTAGTGTTTTTAGAAAGTGAAAGCATTTTTTTTGTTTGTATAAATAGAAGACGAGAGAGTTTGGTTTGAATATTTTTGTGTATTGAAATGATTTGTAATAGATATTCTAAAGAAGGTTGTAAGATAAAGAGGTTAATATTAATAATAAAATTTTGAATAATTTTAAAAAATTATATCGAAAAAAATTTAAACACTCAAAATATAAGCACTAAATGGTTTAAGGGATAATAAAATTACTTATAAAATTTTTTGCCAGGTTGCTGGGGCATGGAATATGATTTTTAAAATTTAAAATTTTATTAAATATAAAAATTTTTAACAAATAACAATAAAATCTAAGTTTGTAGGTAAAAAAATATTTTAAATGATATAAAAACCAATTACTAAATTTTGTATAGCTTTATGTACTGTATTTATTACTATATATACATTGATAAAATAGTTTTACTATGCTTAAGTATGATAGCTTTACTATACATGTGAATATGATAATTAATTATATTTGCATCTTATATTATATTACTTTAAGCTCTAAACATATAGATTTAATTTTGGTAGCAATACTTAGCGGGTTTTATTATTGCACTTGTAATTTTGTATAAGTAAATTAGGCCCACAGGGTTTATAGGTACCTGTAAGCCTGTAGGTTTTGGGCTCTAGAGTAAGGGTAAAGGCTCAACTATTACTTGGCCTATATGAAGGCCTAGTATATACATATGTATATATGTATGCATGAATCAGAGACCTGTAAAAATTTTATTTTATATAGAATAAAATAAATATAAATTTTTTATACAAATCAAAAGATTTCAAAATTTTTATCTGAAGATATGCAACATGTGACTTATCTTAATTTTGATTGGATATTATAATAGTGAAGCTTGTAATTAGCTAATTTTTGCAATTATTAATTAATAATCGATCATATTTTATTGCATTACTACAGTTTTCTATAATTATAATATAAAAATCAGAATTGGTTTTTTCTACTGCTTTGTTTAAGCCAATTCTAATTTTTATCTTATATGTATTTTGCCAGTTTTACAATTATAACACAAAAACTATAAATCTGAGAAACTGGCATAACCGAAAACTCATTTGGCAAGTCCCGAATTTGAAAGTAGCAGTGATCTTTGACAGTGCTACAGGAAAGCTGAATTCGAACCGGGGCCTGAGATTGGAGAACCGAGTGATTAGGTCCTTAAGTGGGGGGACACACTAGCCGAACCGCTGAGCCGACACACTGGAAGAAAAAGTCATATGCTTCAAAAGTATGGACCAAGGGGAGGGCGTCCTTCAGGCACCTAAAGCCTGGGCAGACTGACCCATCCGAGTTGCCGGCTGGAAGTAAGGGAGAGACCGATAAAGAATCTGGGTAAAAAGATGGTCCAAATGTGGGTACTGGAGTTGTTGTGAACCGAATAAGGGCAAGAAGTACATAATGGGCACCTAGTTAGGAAGGTTGGTGCTTGAGAAATGTCTGTAAAACAGCAGTACCCCAAAAGGTGGCATGAGATACATATACGGAACGGCAGATCAATATGTACTAATTAGAAAGAAGTTATAGAAACATGCAAGTGAATACATGTGTGGGACATATACTGCTTTGTTAGGTTTACCTTCGAGGATAGATTAGCCATATATGGTTAGTAAGTCAATGATAGGGATTGACAAAATCCGTGTAGTTAGTAAGTCCTAAGGTAGGGTGCGAAATCCACAATGAGTAATATCCGAAATCCACATATGTATGGTGAGGTACACCCAGGTTTAGAGGGCTGCTAGAGGTAGTTAGAACCAGATGGTTTAAATGGGTACCCCCTAGTTGGGGTGCAGGTACAGCAGATAGTGTAGAACCTTTGGGCGGACTACTTAAATAGGCACTCAAAAGGTGCACGTGTGACTTGATGTACCATCGTTGTAATTACATATAAAACTTTGTTTATACTCTAATAAAAAGTTCACCAGACCAAAGAGGTCACCTTAATACCAAAAAAAAAAATAATAATAATAATTATATATAAAAATATCAAAAAAAGGTGCTATTAATAAAATTTTTTATTTTCTATATAAAATAATTAAATAAAAGCTATAATTAATTTTTCCATAACCTCAAAATTATATTTTATAAAAAAAATTATCAAACTTATATATAAAAAATTTTTTTATTAATTTTTATTTGATATACAAACCTTTTCACACTAGACCATATCTTATAAATATAGGGCTATTGACTTATGACATTTCGCACAATGCCAGGGATATAGATCCGAAAACCAATTAGATTACTTTAAAAATGCACAGATCACCATAAATCATGAGATTCAGTATGCAATTTTTACCAGCAAGCAATGATGATAGAATTAGTTTGGCCATATGTTGCTTCAGTCTCTAATTCATCCATTAATAGTTTTCTCGATTGGGCTAAAACTCAAAAAGATGAATTATTTAAGCTAAAATATGAAATGGTATTTAATAAATTTATAATTATTATTATTATTTTTTTATTATTAAAGGTGACTTCTTGGGTCGGTGCATCTTTATTATAGTTAAATTGGGGTTAGTAATATTTACAACAATTTTAACTATATATATTACAACCAGCCTATAGAACTACTTTGATTATCCTCGAGGTAAACCTGACATCGTATTATATGTCCCACACATGATAGTGCATGCTTGTTCAGTAATTACTTCCCCAATTAGTATATTAGGGTAGCTGTGCAGTGCGTGATGCCACGCAGAACCAGTACGATCTCGTGCGCGCATTGTAGAGCTGAAGTTGTTATAAAGATTGTTTTTTAATGATCGGGTTAGGGTATTAGAGAGTTCTTAGTTTGTGTTATTTCAGTTTAGTTGATTTATATATTTATATATATATTAACATGATTGATCGTTTGTATTTTTTGTTTGGTAGTTTGATTTTTTTTATTTATGTTGGTTTGTCGGATTTGGTATATTTGATTTTAATAGTGACCTTGTTTTATTTTATGTATTGAATACGAATTCTGTTCTTGTTTTGATATTTTTAGTTAAAATATATTGCTTTCAGATGCTTATAATTTTTTTTTGGTGTGTATATGTTTTTTAGTTTTTTTTATGATTATGTAATATTATGACAGACATTTGTGCGAGTGTGAATGAAATTGCAAAATTTTTTATAGTTATTATAGTCGTATTAGTTTTTTTCTTCTCACACATTCATTCGGTATTTTTATTGAAAGATATGTTATATCATGAATTTTAAATTTGTAGTGATTATTATATTTATTACTTTTTTGGATTAGTGTGTGGTATTATGTAACGGTTAATAAGTCTATTACTTATTTGGGTTTATATATAATGGTTTGGTTATTCTTATGTCAGATTTATTTTGATATGAATTTTATCATTATGATTTAATTTATTGTTTTTTTTGTTATATAAGTTGTATAGTTGTTCGTTGATGAAGGTTGTATTTTTTTTTTTTAAATAGTTATCTATATTACCTATATAATGCTTTGTTACGTTAATACTATCGTAAAGATTAGTCAGGTTTGTCAATCTGACAAAGAAGAATCTAAGTTAACTGTTGTGTGGGCTATAGGTCTCTATCCTGTTGGAAGTGAAGAACGAGAGATTGAGATGGTTTTATTTATCCTGATGGTTGATTATGATAGAGACCCTAATTCGCAGTCTGTTTTTGTTAAGAACGAATACTATAGTGTTGGTAAGAAGGCTATTCCTGGAAGTTATAATAACAATTTGAGGTTAAAAGTAAGTAAGAGTTTATTTTTATATAGTATGCTGTGTTAATTTTATAGTATTGTTTTTTATTTTATTTTATTTAGATAACTGTTGTTTCGTTTACGCATCTTGTAATTAGAAGAGATCTAGGTTCTAATAGATGTCTGTTAAAAGTTTCATTGGTTGGTGTTATTCAGGATGCGGCACAGGAGATTAATGATGAAAATGCGATGGTTAAGGTGTTGGTGAAAGATTATGTTGGTCAGAGCAGTTCTTTCATTGTCAGAGTCATATTTCCTTATCATAACAATCGATTCAAGTATTTGTTGAATTCGGTGCGACCATATGTATCAGTGCTTTTTGTTATTGGATTAATGGAAGTTATTCATAAAGAGTTATATGTATATGCTGTTGAAACTTCTTATATTGATTCTTGTTTTCTGGATAAGAAAAAAGTAAATAATTCTAACGATTCTCAATCTTCATTGGTGTTATATAAATCGATTCATTCAAGGCTTTTGGCAGCTCATAATGATGTGAGCGAAAATTCGTCTGAAGAGATTAATGATAAACGTAGTAATCAACGTGGTGAAGTGGACCAGTCTGTGAGTGAATCTTCTGTGTCTAATTCTTATTCATCTAAACGTGTAAGGGTTGAAGATAAGGATCCGAATCATGTTGATTCTGATTATATTGAGGATGAGTGTGAATTTAATAAGGGTTCTGTAAGTAGTATTGATTCAGAAGAAAATGTTACGGATAATTTTAAAACTTCGGAACGTAATATTAGTAAAGCGAATAGAGAAGGGATTCCTTCTATTGTGCATAATACGAGAAAACGAAGTGAAATGCTTAAGAATGTAAACGGTAGTGTGGTCGCAGGAGAGTATAAGAAGAATTGATACGTGAAGATGTAAATGATAATGATTTTTGAGTTAGTTTTTGTTAAAATTTCTTTATTATATATGTAAATATTTGTTTAAAATTTTGAGTGTTTAATAAAATTATTTTGCTTATTACATGTGGTTTCATAAAATCTTTAGTGTTTAGTATATTTTGGGTATTTAGTAATTGTTCTGTTTTTGGTATTTTATTATGTTTTTAATTGATGATTGTTGAGTTTTTTTTTATTATTTTCTTGAGTATCATTTTTTATGTTGATGTAACTATTTTTAATTGGGATGTTTGTTTTTGGTTTTTTTTTAATTAATTCGTAACTTAGTAATTATTTTAGTTCATTTAGAGTATATAAATCGCAATTTAATGATTAGGTGTTTGTATTTAATATAAATTTGTATTTGTTTATATAAATAATTTATTTGTTATTACTGAAGATTTTTCGAAACGTTCAAGTTCTCTTTCAAGGTCAGGGTCGATTTTCACATTAAGTTTAGTTTTGTCAAAAGGTCGAAGTATTATAATATCTTCAAGTCTTTGCACTCGAGACAACATTATATAGATACCAGCCCCAATTCATCCACCATCTAAATCAACTATAATTTTATTTAATGTAGCACCTTGGCATTTGAATTCGGTAAGTGCAAATGCTGAGGTGATTGGTAGTTGAGTTCTTTGAAATTCCCGTGTTATGTTCGTTCCATCTTTTATTTTATGTGTAAATTTGCACTTTCTTTTGATTGGGTAGATTGGTATATTATTTAACAGAAGGTTATCATATGGTCTCGGTTTATTATTTATGAGTTCGATTACTATGTATTTAGGAGGTTTGTTAAATGTAATAAATATTTTCTTATTAATATCTGTATTTTTTTCTACAGACGTTTCTTTATCATATACTATTTTGTGAATTATTCCTTGAGCACTGTTAACTATGCCGTCAGTAGTACAAATATTTATCGTTAGGGCTACTTTCATTCCTATTGTTAATGGCAATATGCCACATAATGGATTCGATTTTGTATTCAATACACTCAAGAATTTCTGTCGGATATTGCCATAAACTGGCTTGTTTTTGTATGTATCCTCAGCATAAACATAGTATACTAGTTGGTTATGGTTTCTTGCATATTCTACCGTAGCTTCGAATTTTATTTGAATTCATAGATCATTCCTTCGAACTAGGAATGTTGCATTTTTCCATTCTGAAGAATTCAGTTCATTTTCTGTCATCACGCGATTACTAAGTATTTCATATTGAGTTGGTGTCAGATGGCCATTATGTAAATTGTTTAGCAAATTAGCATAATTCGTGTTATTGATTTGACGCATTTGTTTTCTTAGTATGATAACATATTTGACTGCTTTCCATAATTCTCTTCCATTAATATTAATTAATATTCGAGTATCATTTGATTTTATATTTTGTGGTTGATTTTTTTGTAATTCTGTAGTTTTTTTGATATTGTTAGTTCGGTATAGAGGTTGATCAAGTACTGGTGGAAGTTGTAAGAAGTCTCCGACAAATATTATATTTAAACCTGCAAAAGGTTCATTTTCATTTTGAAAATTTTTCGCTTCTTTAATACATGCATGTAATCGCGTAATAAGGTTCTGTCCTATCATAGAAATTTCGTCAATGATGATGTATTCTATGTTTGCCCACCTTTCTTGAAGTGGTTTTTTTGTTGTTTTACAAGAAAAATTATAGATGTAAGTATCGTTATCATCGTCAAATCCAAAACCATATAAAGAATGTATAGTACAACTACCGATGTTTGATGCGGCAACGCCGGTTGGTGCACAAAGAGCAAGAGTTTTTCTTTTGCCAGTTTGATCAAAGTATTCAACGATGGCGTTGATTACTTTTGATTTTTCTGTACCACCAGCACCACCTAGATACATTAGTAATTGAAGTGGTTTATTCAGATTACTGGGTAGTTCTGTTCATGATGATTGCAAACAAGCATAAAGGCTTTTTTTTGTTCATCATTAAGGTTTGATGAAGCTTTCTGAAGTATTTGTTGTGAGATGGTTTGTTTATTCCGATAAGTTGTATATATAGAGTTTATTAATTGGGGTTCTTCTATTTTTATATTATCTTGTGTTTGGTTTATTTTTTTTCTTGATGATATAATATCTTGCCATGTTTTGATGATATGATCATCATTTTCAGAAGAACATTTTACTTTATCTTCGTTATTATAGTTTACCATTTTGTATTCTTTTTGAAAATTCGGATTTTCTTTTTTTCTATAATTAAATTTGTTTTTTAGATATAAATGAAGCATTGCGTTGTCAACAAATTTTGTATCATTCAATCCAGAACATAGAAGTTCATACGGGCTAGTTAAAGTTAAGTTTTCTTCTTTAAAATCATCTTGGTCATATAGTATTTCCATGTTATTAGTATTGTTGTGACCTGTTACAGATCTTTGTATTCTCTGAACTTTAGCAATTTCTGGGTTCTTGTAAGCCATTTGGCGTAACTGACGATCTAAAACTGTTTCTTCTGCACATCGGTACAAAAGTTCTATATTATTAATTATAAATCGTATTCGCATTGATAAGTTTGAGGTTTGTAGAAATGTATTGCATGCTTCATTCCAGGAGTTGTGGTTTATTATTAAATCTTCTGCTGATGTCCATGGTTTGAATAAAAAAAGAATGCAGAGTCCATAATGCTCTGCATTTTTCGAATCATCTTTGCGCAGTATTTTTTTTCCACACAATACTGGTACCTTTTCATTCCCATGAGACCAGTGAATCTGTATATATGTTGCATGTTGTGGATGTATTGTATTATGATCACAAGTTTCATTATATTTTTTTTCTCCTCCTAAAAATTTGAATCTATCTACTCTTGTAGTATGTCCTTCATGACTTTTTTGTCTATTGAGTTTTTCAATTTCTTTATCATTGATTTTTATTTTATTTATATATTGTCGATACATAGTCATTTAAACACATGTTTTCTAATTGTTCACCTCGATACATGTAGTCAATTCATAAATTAATTGGATCAATTCGTTCACCAGTATTTATCATTCTGAACATTTCATTATCTATAAAGTTATATCTATATTTGTCATCACAATTGTTTTCTTGACTTGAGTTATTTTCACTACTATTAGTATTCAGGTTTTCTTGATTAATTGTTTCAGGTAAATATTCAATTGGATACCACAATGTTAAGTATTTTTCAAAGGTGCTGAGGTATAATGAAATAAACTTGTTAGGTGTGTAATTATCTTTAAATCCTAAGCGATACATTGACACTTGAGGTCAGTCATCTCTGTTTGCCCGACTATCTTGTTAAGGCACATTGTAACGAGTTTTCGTGATCTTATTATGGATTCTTCTAATGTTTTATCTGAACTTGAAAATCCAGTAATAAATTTATTTAAGGTTATTGCACATATAAGAAACGAATTATGTATATTCATATCATTTTTGGTTATATAATCTGTGATGTAATATATATATATTAGTGCTAGCTTGACGGTTCCTATGAATCTGATGTCATTGTTTCCTCTGCAACTAGCAGTTATATAAGGATTGTGATTATTTATGTAAGCGTTATATCGCTGAAGAGCAATTACTCCAAGTTCTGGATATATTTTACCGGGTGCTTCGACTTTTTCATGTGAAAAGTCAAAATGACAATTTGATGTTTTACCCACGATAATACTTTTTACAAGATTTCGTACATCTATGAAATAGTGTACGTTTTGCAATACTAAGTATGTCAAAACGGAATTTTTCATCAAAGTCTGGTAAGTTTGGGTCTGGAATCGGTAAAATTGATGGGTGCATTTTTTTTTCCATTATAGTTTTAGGGGCTTTAAACTCAGCCTCTAACATTTCATCTGTTAAGTAGTTGTTGTCTGGAAAAAGATATTTAATATCTTTTTAATAATTTCATTTAAATAAGTTATTAATCGTTTTTCAAAGTTTTCATTTTTAAGATTGTCTTGTAGTTGTATAGGATCTAGAGCACCTTTGAGCCAAATTAACATATGACAGTGAGGTGTACCACGGTCTTGATACTCTATAACTCCATAATAGTTTTTTATTTCGCCCAATACACCACCTGATTTTTTATAACCTAAAATAAATTTAATTATTTCTTCCATCATGCTATTAAAATACTTCGCTACTGCAGTTGGATCGAGGTGAGCTAATTTAGCTCTTTCAGTTGCTGTCGGAAAATTTTCAGAAAGTAAATTATTAATATCAATTTCTTTTCCCGCATATATAATCACAATTGCACTGTGAAGGTCTGCAGGGTTTATTGTTACAAATAATGATAGTGCACCATCCCATATGATAACAGCATGAATTTCATTATGAAGAATTTTTCATGATTGTTGTGATCCAATAATTTTTCCACCTATAATATTTATATTTTTTAGTAGTTCCATCACAGCTTTGTTCATTATTGGTTGTTTATTTCGTTCCTGTTCTATCGTGATTTTTATATCACTTGGTATAAGTTTTAAGATTAATTCTGCTGATTGTGCGAAGCTTTCTCGTTTTGCTATTAAGTATGTACCTGATGCTACCTCTCTTCTACGTAATATATTGAATACAATAAAGATGAATGAACGATGATGCCTAAATTTAGGGTCCCGTGGACATAATAAATGCTCAATATACTGTTTAAATGGTACGTGTTGTCCGCGAAAATTACCCTCATGGCCACCTACTCCATAGGGAAATAATGTAGGAAATGCCGCAGGTAATAGTGTTGGATCTGTATATATGTTTTTGGATATATTCGAATGTGGCATTATGATCGTTTCAGGGTATTCTTAATTATCATTAGTTTTTTCTTGGATTATTTTTTCCAATAATTTTAAGGAATGTTCTTGTTCAGATACTAGTGTATCAATATGTGCTATGCCCGAATTTCTTAATTCTGCTATACTATCAATGCAATTATATAAATTAGATATTTCTTTATTATTATCTGATTCTTCACTGTTTATACTATTTGCATTGT